GATCTTGGTTCACGGCAACCTCCACCTTCTGGGTTCAAGCAATTCTTCTGCCTCAGCCTCCTGAGTAGGTGGGACTATTGGCTTGTACCACCACACCTGGCTAATTTTTGTATTTTTAGTAGAGTTGGGTTTCACCCTGTTGGCCAGGCTGATCTCGAACTCCTGACCTTGTGATCCACCCACCTCGGCCTCCCAAAGTGCTGGAATTACAGGTGTGAACCACCACACCTGGTCAACATTTTTTACAGTCTTTAATATAGTGGATTCCACTCCATTTAATCCAATTAAGAAATAAAGATGTGATTCTAATAGCTGCTTTATTCAGTTTGGAGCCAATACAAATAAAAAGTCTCAGAGTTTATATTCTGCCTCCATGCCTCACACCCTGTAACCTGTCTCACCTGCTAAGCACTGTTTTTCTCATACACTCCTATAGTAAAGGGCATGGACTCTTGAGTGAGACTATTGGGTTCAAATGCCACACACTAGCTATGTGACCTTAGACAAGTTGCTTATCTTCTCTATGCCTCAGTTTCCTCATCTCTAAAAATAGAATAGTAATAGTATCTACCTCATAGTGTTTAGTTTAGTTTAGTTTTGTTTTAGAGATAGGGTCTTGTTCTGTCATCCAGGCTGGAGTACAGTGGCATGATCATAGCTCACTGCAGCCTCTAACTCCTGGGCTTAAGCAGTCTTCCTGCGTCAGCCTCCCTGAGTAGCTGGGACGACAGGTGTGCTCTTCCAGTCTCAAGTGCTCTTCCAGTCTCAGCCTCCCAAAGTGTTGGGATTACAGGCATGAGCCACTGTGCCTAGCCCTCAGAGGGTTTTTTGAAGATTCAGTATGAAGTGCTTAAAACAGTGCTTGGCATAGTGCATTACACAAGTATTGGCTATTACAACATTATTATTTGCCCAAGGACCTATAGTATTTTATCATATCCATATTTTCCAATCTTACAACTTTGAGGCAGTATTGCCAGTTGCAGTGATTTCAAAGTATAATCCTCACAGCATCTTCAAAATGTGCTGTCTGAAATAATATTGCATGCCCTATATTTGAATAATTCTTGTTTAAAATTATTCCAGAGACCTATATTATAAGCAGGTTCCCTTAATGATGATGATGAACTCTAACTTTGGGACTGGGGAACAGACCTGTAGGCATAGGTTAGATTCTCCCACTGGCTAACATGATCACAGTAAGTTACTGACCATCAGCTGACCCTCAGTTTTCCCATTTGCAAAATGGTGTTAATGCCTACTTAATAGGACTGCTGTAACGATGAAAGCAATAATACCAACAAGCTTAATGTAAACATTCAACATGTGAAGAGTTTAGTAAGCGGTAGTGTAATAATAATGATAAAAATATTATTGTTAACATGTCTAACTTTATTTTTCTACTTCTTAGAATAAATATTGTACTTTTTTTTGAAATGAAGTCTCACTCTGTCACCCAGGCTGGAGTGCAGTGGCAGGATCTCAGTTCACTGCGATCTCCGCCTCCCAGATTCGAGCAGTTCTTCTGCCTCAGCCTCTCGAGTAGCTGGGATTATAGGCGCCTGCCACCATGCCTGGCTAATTTCTCTATTTTTGGTAGAGACGGGGTTTCATCATGTTGGCCAGGCTAGTCTCAAACTCCCAACCTCAAGTGATCCACCTATCTTGGCCTCCCAAAGTGCTGGGATTATAGGCCTGAGCCACCATGCCCGGCCTAAGACTACTTTCTGTATCCATGGATACCTCCATGTCTCACCTCTTGGGAACTGTTTCCTGTACCTGAAATGCCAAATTTCCTCTATAGTTAAATAAATCCTACCCATCATTGAGCTCAGCTCACGTTATTCCTTGCTGAAGGTTATCTCTTCTGCTTCAGCCCACACTAAGTTCCCACTTCTGTGAATTCATAATACATTTCAAGTCTGTATGGGATTTAGAACTTTAATATATGTAGAACATCCTTTGTGGCCTTCACTAACTAGCTGTGTGTGAATTAGGGCAGTTTGGTTAACCCCTCTCCAGTATCATTTTTCACATGTTTAAAATGATGTTAACATGACATACTTTTGAAGGAATAGTTTAGTAAATTAAGTAGAAACTAGCACATTTTCTAGAATATAATGGGTACTCATTAAATGGTAACTGCTGCTATTTTATGTTTTAAAAATAGGTTTAGGCTGGGTGCGGTGGCTCACACCTATAATACTAGCACTTTGGGAAGCCAAACCGGGTGGATCACCTGAGGTCAGGAGTTCGAGGCCAGCCTGGCTAACATGACAAAACCCTGTCTCTACTAAAAAAACAAAAATTAGCCAGGTGTGGTGTTACGCGCCTGTAATCCCAGCTACTCGAGAGGCTAAGGCAGGAGAATTGCTTGAACCTGGGAGGTGGAGTTTGCAGTGAGCCAAGATAGTGCTACTGGACTCCAGTCTGGGCGACAGAGTGAGACTCCATCTCGAAAAAAAAGAAAGAAAACAAGGTTTAGAAGATTGTCTTGGAGACTGTAAAATAGAAAGTAACCCCTCCAAGAGACAGAATCTCAAGGTGTAGTTTTCTCTAGTCAGTGCTGTACAACAAATCCCACAGTATGTTATTTAACGAGGGAAATTCAAAAAGTTTTTATAAAGTTGGCATTTCCTAAAACATTGCTATATGAACTAATACTTCAAAGGAAGAGGCAATTACACCATTAAATGCTTACATAATATAGGGTTTTTAAATTAAAAGTTAGAATTCTAGTAAGAGTAATTTACCTTAATCATTTTACTAGATTTTTTTTTTGTCAGTTAATATAATTAAGTGATTGAGTTGGGCTTTTAAATAGCTGAAACTATGATAGTCTTAACAATCATAAAACTTACACAACTAAGAAACACTGTAGCATTCTTGTTGTTTGGTTGCAAAGCTGATATGATTGCCTTTTCCTTTTTTCTTTTTTTTTTTTTTTTTTTTGAGACACCTGTCTCTGTCACCCAGGCTGGATGGAGTACAGTGGCATGATCTCGGCTCACTGCACCCTCCAACTCCTGGACTCAAATGATCCACCCACCTCAGCCCCCTGAGTAGCTGGGACTATAGGTGTACACCACCATGCCTGGCTAACTGTTGTATTTTGTGTAGAGACAATGGTTCACCATGTTGCCCAGGCTGGTCCTGAACTCTGGGGCTCAAGTGATCCACCTACCTTGACCTCCCAAAGTGTTGGGATTATAGGTGTGAGCCACCACGCCCGGCCAGATTGCTTTTTTATGAAGCATTTTTATGAGGTAAAAACAACTTTAAAGGGCTGGGTGTGGCAGTTCACACCTGTAATCCCAGCACTTTGGCTGGCTGAGGAGGATTGCTTGAGCCCAGGAGTTCAAGACCAGCCTGAGCAACATAGTGAGATCTGTTTCTACTAAAAATAGAAAAAATTAGCCAGGAGAGGTAGTGTGCACCTATGGTTCCAGCTATGTGTGATTTTGAGGTGGGAGGATCGCTTAAGCTTGGGAAGTTGAGGCCGCCGTGAGCCGTGACTGCACCGGTGCACTTCAGCCTGGGCAACAGAGTGAGATCCTGTCTCAAGAAAACAAACAACAAATAAAGAAATGTGTCTTAGCACATCTGAAACTGTTGGCTAGGATATGAAATCTACATAAGACATTCTATGACTCTTTTTTTATTTGTTTTATAATTTTACAGTGTTTGTAGAAGTGGTTTATTTATTTAGAGAGAGAGAAACAGGAGAGAGAAAGAAACAGCTAACTCTCACACTGAGTGACAGAATTCAGAAAGATGGAATCCAGGAGAGGAAAGCAGCTTCCACACTGAGTGGAAGGGAATAGAGAGAGATGGAGTTTACGAGGGAAAACAGGCTTCCACGAGAGTGTGTGGAAGGGGACTCCAAAGGGAAAATCCAGGAGAGAGAAAAACAGCTTCCGCAAGAGTGTTCGTGGAAGGGGATCCAAACTTGGAGTCCCAAACGTTCTATGACTCTAAACGTTACTTGTAACCTTATTGACTTTCTTAATAGCATGGCTCATGTTTGACTCTTGGTTTGCCCTCAAAAAGAGCTAGTCATGAGCCTTGCACTGTAGTGCGTGCCTGTAGTCCCCACTGCTCAGGAAGCTGAAGCAGGAGGATTGCTTGAGGCCAGGAGTTTGAGGTGTTGCCAGACTGTGGTTCTAAAAAAATTCTTAAACTCCAACTGGTCATATAATAAATAACAACTTTAGTTTCTGTACTAGAGAAGACAAATACAAGAAGGTAGAAATAACTTGATTCTCTTTTACTTTCCAACAGATCCCAGATGGATTTTTTGCCCATTTTTATGCCATTTGTGAACACATCAGCCCTGTCCTAGCCTGGGGCTTTTTGGGTCCTAGAAATTCTCTCTATGATTTATGTTGCTTTTTTAAGGTATGTTCAGTCATTGAATCATTTCCTTCTTTTTCTAAATCAAAAAGGAGATAAGGTTTTATTCTGTTTTGTTTTGCATTTTTTGAAGAACAAATGTTATTTAAGAGTAAAGTTACAAAAGTCACCTAAATTCAGCATTTAAATGCCAGTATTAAATATTTTTGGCATTTTATAATACCACCATTATTATAGTGGACCAGTATTTTATAGATTTGGTACTTTATTCTGGAGTAGACTCAGCAAATCCATTCACCTTATCAATTCCCCAGTGCAAGGGATACATGGTCTTGCATGGTGTCGCCATGTGACAGTCAAAGTGATGCAGATAGTTGGTTCTTCATGCCTGGGCACTTTTGAAACTTACAAACAATATCCACCTTTATTGCACATGTGGTAATATAGAATAAGTTGTGATTAAAGGTGAGATGAATAATAAAATCCAAATTGTGAGAAATAACATGGGAGTTTAACATTCTATCCCAATGTCAGCAATTTTAGTTTGCCAAAATACAAGTTGTAGCTCCTTGTAGAACTTTCTGGCTGGCAAAGTGACAAAGAAAGTCTCTCTGTGTAATAATCTTGAGTTTAGGCTGCATTTCAAGGAGCAAATGTTAAACATAATTATCAATTTGAAAGTTTGGATGTTTTACTTTACTATACCATTCATTTTTTAAAAGTATGTTTATGCACTGTCAAGGTAATACTTGTATAAATGGTTTAGAAATGTTTATTTTACTGTCATTCACAACACATTGATTTTTGTAGTTTACCACCCACGTGTAAGGAATGTGTTTTAGGGGTAGGGAATTAAGTCTCTCATCAGTGAGCATTCTGACTTGTGGCAAATCATTCTTTGATATTCCTTTTTTTATTTATGAAATGAGGGGGCCTAACAGGTTGATTGCTAATGACCCTTTCAGATATAAAATCTAGTGAATCAATGAAGTGTGTCTTTTTAGTACTTCTTAATAACATTTCGTTTCTGGAAGACAGAAATTAGATATTCCTGTTTTTTACTCTTTGAAATTTTTTTCTATTATGGTGACATGACAGCCGAGACTTAGTAGTATACAGTTTGCTTACAGTGATGAAATATCCTTCAGGATCTACCACTGATTTGAGACCTGAAATGTTCTTTATTCTTCATGTGCCTTAAGGGTTTTTTTTTTTTTTTTTTTTTTTTTTGAAAAAAAATGCACATTTAAAATTATAATGTATTATTTTATTATTTATTCAAAACTATTATTAGAAATAGTTTATTGTTCTGTCTTAGAGTAGAAGCAATGCTCAAAGGTCACATTGAAGGGAAAGGACTATAACCCCTTACATTTAAACAGTTCTTTAGAGTTTACAGGCACTTCTTATAAACTATCTTTCTTAAAATGTTTCCCCGCCTCTTTATGCTATCACAGACATTGTCTTTTTTGATCATCATGTCATCCCTGAGTAGTAAGTAAGACGGACGGTATTATCCCTTATTTCACAGAAAAAGAAAATGAGCCTCCAAAAAGGAAAGGTTAAATCACTTGTGCAAGTTTCCTTTTCTAATGAAATATGAAGCTATCACTGGAAGTCAGTTCTTCTGATTCCCGATTCAATGCTCATTACAATATTAGAAGCTTTTTCAATGTAACATGATTTTGGTCTAATAAATGCCAATTTGTTTTATGTCCATTTTCCAGAATCAAGTTCTTTTATTTCTCAAAGACATTTTTGACTTTGAGAAGGTACGTTATTCAAGTGCAGAGACTTTGGCTGAAGACCTCAAGCAGTTACTCATTCGCCGCACTGAGCTTTTAATGGCCTATCTTGAAGCAGATGCCCTGAGGCATATGAGTAGTTGTCTAAGTAGTCATGGTCATGTTATGCCTCCTGGGCTACTGGAAGCCAAAGTACAATAAGTACCATAAGGATCATACAGTTTGAGTGTGCTATGAAATATTTTAAGGTAACTATTGATTTTGTAACACACAAACAAAATCAACAGAATTGGTGCATGTGGATTCAGGGAGGAAAAAAAATCTAGTAAAAATGAGCAACTGTACTGTATTTATACAATAGTTCTGTCATTGAATTCCTGTGTAGTGTATTCAAAGTGGCTTTTTACACTCATTAGGTAATAATCAAAGTCATGAAATGTTGTATATTTTACAGAAATATTGCTTGAATTGAAGCCAATATTTGGGAGTTAATTGGTTTGTCGTCTTGAAGCTGTCATTCTCAAAAGCTGTTTTTCTGCTTTGCACTTTGAAAATATACACGTTAGCCAAGATCTTTGTGGCCCACATGTGCAAGAATATACTACTTCTAGTGTCAATGTATTTAACTTTGCCTAGAAACGTATTTTTAATTATAAAGTTATTAATTTGTTGAATCAAGTTTAGGCAGTAATGATGTTTAGTATGTACTGCATACATTATTGCTTGTGCATTTGCTTATGTATTTGAATCAAAGAAACTGTAATCACTGAATATTGTTATAGAACATTTAAATGGACCACTTGTGGTAGCTCATGCCCATAACTCTTCGGGAGGCTGAGGCAGGAGGATAGTTTGAGGCCAGGTGGTTTAAACTGGCCTGGACAACATACAGGAGAACTCCCCCCCATCTCTACAAAAATAAAAATAAATTAGTTGGTATCAAGCAGAGTTCCATGGAAATATTAATTTTTTTTTTTTTTAAATAGGCCAGGCATGGTAGTTCATGCCTGTAATCTCAGCAGTTTGGGAGGCTAAGGCAGGCGGATCACCTGAGGTCAGGAGTTCGAGACTAGCCTCACCAATATGGTGAAACCCCATCTGTACTAAAAATACAAACATTAGCCAGGCATGGTGGCGTGTGCCTATAGTCCCAGTGACTAGGAAGGCTGAGAGAGGAGAATTGCTTGTACTGAGGAGGTGGAGGTTGCAGTGAGTCAAGATCGCACCACAGCACTCCAGCTTGGGCAACAGAGTGAGACTCTGTCTCAAAAAATAAATTAAATTAAATTAATTAGTGGGATATAGTGGTTTGTGCCTGTGGCCCCAGCTACTTGGAAGGCTGAGGTGGGAGGATAACTTGAGTCCAGAAGGTCAAGGCTGTCGTGAGCCCTGATTGCACCACTGCACTCCAGCCTGGGCAACAGAGTAAGACCCTATCTCAAAAGTGAATAAATAAAATAAAACATTTAAATGAATTGACATTGAGAAATTTACAGTTTACAAATTTATATTATATTAACTGTAGCTTCCGAAATATGTTACTGTTGGTCCTGTAAGTTACAAAGAGACTGAAGAACTTTCTTTTTATACATTAGAGCATTTTTTCCCTGGAGTATTGATTAAAAAGATAACATTAATTAATAAAATTTTAAATTAATAATTTAAAATTTAATATTATTTGGAGACTGTCAACATCTGAAGGTATAAAACTTGGTAGAGTAAAATAATTTCTCCTTTCTCCTACAAAGCTGCCTTTTAGTTATTCCCACAGAAAACTCAGCACAGTGGGAATTTGTCATATTATGCCCATATTTTTAAAATATTCACACTTTGAATATTATTGACGTTTGAAAGAAGGGTTTGTTTCCTCCCTTGAATGTAAAACAAAAATGTTGTAATGATATGGAAGTATATATTTTATGTTCATTATGATAAACCTATAAACAAATGAGTTGTTTTTATGAGTGAGGTTCTTCTGTAAGAATATATTAAATGCTTTCAGAGTTGTATTAATTTTTTTTCTAAATAATATGCCACTTATTTGGAGTGGCTAACTCAGTATGTAAGTAGAGTAGATTTGTTTGTTTGCTCCTAAAATGGGCTTTATTCATTTTAGGAGTGAACTGCACAACAGGACCTAAAATGCATTGGTTTTTTTCTTCTTTTAAGAGATGGGGTCTCGCTCTGTTGCGCAGGCTGCAGTGCAGTGTGCTCACCTCAGTCTCAGCTTCTCACACCAGAGGCATGTGTCACCATCTCTGACTCCTAAAATGCATCTTTAAAAAGTGAATTTTTAGATTAAAGTGCCTAGTTTCTGATTAATAAATAGAAGATGAAAAGTGTTTGGGGGGGAGCATAAACTTTTAAGATTTTTAATTTCTGTATGTGCCATATTTGTGTAAATTAACTACAAAATATTCAGAATCATGCTGTTTTGCATGTACTTTGTAGGTTATTTGGCATTAAAATACAAATTATCACTGTTCTGTAGTATATAGCTCCTAGACTTTTCTTACGTAGATGCTTAATTTAACAATTACCTATTTATAATTCTTCTTCTTGATGGGAATATGATGAGAAGTACCAAAACTAAAAATTCCATTATTTACTGTTTACTTTTTTTTTTTTTTAACATTCCATGTTTTTACCTTGCTGCGGTATCGCTGGTCTTGAATGATACACAGACATGTGTGTGTGCACATGCATTTCATTACCATGTAGACAAGGCAGTTATTGCCTATATTAATTTACCCATTTGAGGGCTAAGTGTTTTAAGCTGTGGTTTTATAAGAAAAGCTGTAAGTAAGCATAATTACTTTTTTATTTTAGAAAGATATTATTTGAAATCAGTTTTGAAGAATTGCACTATTTGATAATGCTGCTACTATGTAGGATAACTCTGGAGAATTAATTTTATGAGATAAGTTGAATGGCTTTCTAGAAGGTGTTGTTTTTTGTCTGTTGTTTGTTTTTCTCTTTTACATTTCATCTTTGAAAAGTTGCTTATGTTCAGGAGGTTGGTTCGTCAAATTCAGTGCTTGAGTTTGTTTCTGGTCAGTTCAGTATCTGCTACTTTAGCAAGATGCTTTCTTTGTGGCCTTTCACAAAAGAGATAAGAGTGACCAAATAGAGTTTCAGGATAAGAAGTATAGGAAAAACCTCTCTACTGTGAGAGAAGAAGCTTGAACTTTTTAAAGGAAATGTCCTCTTGAGAGAACATTTCTGCCTGCATGCAGAAGGGTACTTTAGACAGATAACAGGCCAGGCGCAGTGCCTCACGCCTGTAATCCCAGCACTTTGGGAGTTCAAGGCCAGCCTGACCAACATGGAGAAATCCCATCTCTACTAAAAATACAAAATTAGCTGGGCATGGTGGCGCGTGCCTGTAATCCCAGCTACTCAGGAGGCTGAGGCAGGAGAATCCTTGAACCTGGGAGGTGGAGGTTGCAGTGAGCCAAGATTGCGCCAAGGCGCTCTAGCCTGGGCAACAAGAGCAAAACTCCATCTCAAAAAAAAAAAAAAAAAAAAAAAAAAAAAAAAAAAAAAAAAAAAAAAAAAAAAAAAAAAAAAAAGACATATGTAATAGTTTCCATTTGCCTTAAAACTAGGTTAAGTAGCAAAAGCAATGTTTTAAAAATTATTAGTTTAGAGCCTTTTAGGGTAAACCCTGTTTAAACACTGACTAGTGGTAGTATTAGCAGGAAATTGCCCTTGCTACTATACATCCCACCATCCACTTCCATATGTCAATTATAAGAGGGCCTTTAATTAGTTAGTCCTGAGAAAATGGCCTTTTGTTTGGAAGAAAGAAGATCAATTTTCAGGCAATTTACATTTGGTATTTCTTTTAATTTTTTTTTTTTATATTTTGATTTCTCTACATTTTTGTTCAACTCTTTTAAGTACTTATTTAAGTAAGTACTCTTTAAAGTACTTACTTCTTGAAGGTTAAGATTATGTTTATTAAATATCATAATGGAATTATCTTTTAAAAAAGAAGACAAGTTTTCCATTTAACAGTAAGCTCCAAAGAACTTTGTTTTTCTCATAAAGTAATATTCTTTATTTGCATCCATTTACTATGATTCTGTTGATTTGTTGAATTAACTGACTTTATAAAAATATATACAAATGTTTTCTTGCCTTAAAATGTAACATTTTCTACTTAAATTTAATTTCTAAGAGAGTGGTTATTTGCATTGCAAAGGAATTCTTAGTAATTCCTGTAAGTCTAGGAAATAGGAATGCCAAAGTAACATTTAGTGAACTTCTCTGTAACTTTTCATAATCAGAAATTTTAACTTATGTTTATATAACCCATTTACTTTTATTTTAATGTGAATATATACTCAGAAATTATTTGATGTAAATTTCAAAATGATTATAGGAATTAAGCTGAATTCAGGTTTTTTTTTGCTTAGTCAGATTAAGAAATATGTATGTGACATTTAAGAATTTATATAAAATCTGTGATTAATGGAAATAAGAACATTCCTACTTTGTTCCTAACGATTATGTTATTGTTTTGTTTAGTTTGAGAACAACCATGTGTTAGCTTCACTTGGCTGCTATCAGTAAGTGTTTCTATTTCATAAATGTAAGGACCGCACTCATTAATTTGTGTAAAAGTAAAACACTACAGTAGCAAAAAAATTGCACTGGCTCTTTAGCCAAAATAAGCACTGTAACATGGATGTATTACTATTACTGCCAAATAAAAAAGTGATAGTACGTCTTGCTGATCTATTGATTATTTTAAACAATGTTAATACATAATTATGAAGTCACACTTGTTTCATCAGACTCTATATGAGAATGTTCGGTCTCCATAAGTCCCATATATATGGCATAGAGAACAGAACAACTGCAGAAGCATTGTGATCCAATATAAAACTTTATCATTAAAATAAAAAATCAAAGGTCAGGTGTGGTGGCTCATGACTGTAATCCCAGCACTTTGGGAGGTTGGGGCAAGTGGATCACCTGAGGTCAGGAGTCTGAGACCAGCCTGGACAACACAGTGAAACCCCATCTCTACTAAAAATCCAAAAATTAGCTGGGCATGGTGGCGGACACCTGTAATCCCAGCACTCTTTGAGACTGAGGCAGGTGGATCACGAGGTCAGGAGAACAAGACTTTCCTGGCCAACATGGCAAAACGCTGTCTCTACTAAAAATACAAAAATTAGCCAGATGTGGTGGTATGCACCTGTAATCCTAGCTACTCGGGAGGCTGAGTCAGGAGAATTGCTTGAACCCAGGAGGCAGAGGTTGCAGTGAGCCGACATCACGCCATTGCACTCCAGCCTGGGTGACAAGAGCTAAACTCTGTTTCAAAAAAGTAAATAAAATTAAAAACAAAGGTTACAAAATTTATCTTTTCTCCATGTACCAATGTAAGGAAACAGGCAGTTCTGTGATGAATAAAGGGAAAATACTTGTGGTTTTTTTTTTTTTTTTTT